TTGGAGCCCTAACTGTCCCCCTCCTCCATTGTAAGGTAAGTGCAGAAAAAAAGAAAGTGAGCCCGAGAGTTAGGCAAGAAAAGGGAAATTATTAGAGGGAAAAGAGAGGATGATGTGTTCTTAAGGAGAACCAGTGTCCTCCCTTTCTGACAGAGTCCTTCTTATACCCCACCAATGAAACATTCTCTGAAGGGATGGTTAATTTTTAGCCTGTAGTTGAGTCCTGTGTTCATGTATCCAGAGGTCTAGAATCTGGTGGTCTCACAGTCTTGAGAAGATAGGCGCCAGTGAGAAAACAGAATGCCATTTGGGCAATTTGGTCAGTCGCATGGATCACTGTGATTTTATTTTTTGTTTGCAAAGTTGACATAATGAGCTGTCTTATCAATGAGACCCCCTGTGGGCCCTATCACCCGTATGATGGGATTTGGGCCCTTTGAGTAATAAATAGGTTTGGTTGGGCCTTTTGAGAGATAAATAGATTTAGATGGGGTCATGAGAATGAGGACATGATCATGAGAATGATGACAAGATTAGCCCCCTTTATAAAGAGAGATATCAACGTGCATTCACTCTCTCTTTCTCACCTGTCTCTTCCTACCATGTGGGAACGTAGTGAGAAAGTGTCTATGAGGCAGAAGGAGCGCTCTCATAGCCATGCTGGAAACTTGATATCAGATTTCTAGCCTCCAGAACTGTAGGAAACACATTTCTGTTGTTTAAGTCACTTAGTCTGTGGTATTTCATGATAGTAGCATGGACTGAAAACACTGTCTCACACCTAGTAACAGATGGATGCACAACACTTGGCTCTCCAGAAGAACTCAAACAGTCCATGGAAGGGAAATGCACCCACTGCTTTTCAGAGAACATGTCTTCTAAACTATTGGATGAGTTATCCATGCTGCGAATACATCTGATTGCAGTATTTTGTTTTGTATAAAATTTCTTGTTTTATTTTAGGTTTAATAGTGAAACCTAAGTTTGCAAAGAGCATAGGTTTCTCACTTTTATATCAATTTGATATCATTATACAATTCTTTGATCCATATTCTCCTCAAGTCACAGAGATCTTTCTTCTTAAACTTGAGGTGGCTTTTCCTGATCATAAGAACATACAACTTTCAACCCCTGCTTTAATATATGCTCACATTTTGAAAGCAAAATATTCTACTCAATTCTACTTTTTTATGTCAAGTGTGTACAGGGTAAATTCACTCAAATTTTTATTACAGAATTTAATATCAATTTTGAATATGAAGGAAAGACATTTTTCTGGGAGAATAAAATATAGAATGAGTAGATTGATTTTTCCATAATTTTACCCAAAATAAATTTGACTATACAGCTCACATCTTGGGGTCAAGTACAACGTTCCTTTAGAGTATTTTTTAGATAGTAATTAAAAAATATTTAAGCTCAGTAATACTTAAGAGGACATGTTCTCATTATTTGTATGTACAGTAGAAAAGAAACTTCTGCTGATATTCAGTTTGAATTACAACTAGAAATATTGGAGAGTATAGCTTCCCTGATTGCTCAGATGTTAAAAATCTGCCTGCAATGCAAGAGACTGGGTTTGATTGCTGGGTCAAGAAGATCCCCTGGAGAAGGAAATGGCAACCCACTCCAGTAGTCTTGCCTGGAGAATTCTATGGACGGAGGAGCCTGACCCGCTACAGTTCACGGGGTCGCAGAGAGTCGGGCATGACTAAGTGACTTCACAGGGCATGGGAAGAGTTAAAATTTTGATGATGGCATAAAGTAAAATAGAGGCTGATGCCTGGTTTCAATTTCTTAAAAATGAAATTACAAAACTGAAATAAAAATATTTCTAAAGGAAAAAGGAAAAACTGTTCTTGTGACAAAAAAATCACATATTTGTGATTATCCAGCCTATCCCTAGTGCAAGTTTTTTATATTTTATATAAGGCATTATCTTTTCTCGCTTTGTGAAGAGTAAAGGTCAGCTGTAAGCAGCACCCTGTGAAATTTCCAGGAATATTTTGTGATCCAGCAGAAGCTGATGTTGAGACATTGGTACAAACAAAAAAGATACAGTGACCACCAGATAATATTCACAAGAAAGTTTACTCTTTTCTGTTACCACATTGTGATCTTAATTTCTTCATTGGAAAATTGATTTCTTTCTTTATGTAAATATTTATTTTTTCTTTAAAAAGATTATGGGGTTTTGCATTGATAAATGTGCATAATTTCAATGTACATTGCTTATATATACATAATATTAGTATATATATAGAAATGATATTAATGTAATCAATATAATGGAAGTTGTGGATTAATTTATTTATCTTATACTTAGTTACTTCTGGAAAATTTAACTTTGCAAAGAAGTTAGATAGGAACTAGTTTTATTTTTACAATGATGAGATGCTTTGGACAGGGAAAAACCTAGTAAAGAGTTTCTAAGTGGCTCAATTCTGGCAGAGAATGATAATAGAAAGAGCAATCTAGTGTGACTCTCAGTCTCTGCTACTGTGGGTGCTGCTGTGTGCTTAGTTGCCCAGTAGTGCCGACTCGCTGTGCTCCCAGGGACTGTAACCCACCAGATTCCTCTGTCCATGGAATTTTCCAGGCAAGAATACTGGAGCCGGTTGCCATCTCCTACTCCAGGGGATCTTCCTGACTCAGGGATCAAAACCCACATCTCTTGCATCTCCTGCATTGGCAGGCAGTTGCTTTACCACTAGCACCACCTGGGGGCTTTTACTGTCAGAATAATTACCAAGTTTATTAAGCTGTGAAATAAGAAAATTTTTTCAAAAATATGTACAGCTTTATTGAGATATAATTATTTAACATTGTATTTATTGATGGTGTATGATGTGTTGACTTTGCTATTGTTATTGTTTAGTTGCTAAGTTGTGTCCAACTCTTTGCAACCACATGGATTGTAGCCCACCAGCCTCAGTCCAAGGGATTTCCCAGGCAAGAATACAGGAATGGATTGCCAGTTCTGTCTCCAGTGTTTCTTCCTGATCCAGAGATCAAACCTGAAGCTCCTGCACTGGCAGGCGGATTCTTTACTGCTAAGTCACCAAGGAAGTTTTTATAACATATTGACTAGGTACATGTAAATGTCTGAAATGATTAAGACAGTAGGGTTAATTTCATTTCCTGACATAATCATTTATTTTCTTGTGATGAGAGCACGTGAAAAATCTGTTCTAACAACTTTCATTATGAACTATTGTCAAAATGCCATGATTTAGAACCCCAGAACTTACTCATCTTGTAACAGGAAGATTGAACACTTCGACTAAAATCTCCCATTTCCCTCAATTCCTAATCTTTGATAACCACTATTATACTCTCCATGAGTCTGACTTTTAGAGACTCTCTATATAAGTGAAATAATGCAGTTTTTGTCTTTCTCAGAATGATTTATTTCACTTAGGCCAATTCACTCAAAGATCTTCCATGATGTAACAAAGCTCAGAATTTTCCTTTTTCTAGTGACTGAATGGAATGTATTTCATTATATATACATTTATATGTGTGTATATATATACATATATATGTAACTATACACTATACATTATGTATGTAATATATCTTTGTTTATCCATAGATAAACAGGCTGTTTCCATAGATTGGAAACAGTTATTGGAAACTATTATGAATAGTGCTTTAATGTACATGGGAATGAGGATATCTCTCTGAGATCCTGATTTCATTTCCTTTGGATATATACGCAGAAATAAAATTGTGGGATTATATATTAGTACTATTTCTAATTGTTTGAGGAAACTCTTGTTTTCCATAACACCTGACCAATTTGCATTCCCTTCAATAATGGGCAAGAAAGTTTCCCTTCTCTCCACATTCTCACAAACACTTTATTGCTCTCTCTCTCTCATAATAGCCAATCTAACAAGCATGAGATGTTATATCACTAGGGTTTGGATTTGCATTTCCCTGGTGATTAGTGATTTTTATAATATTTTCACGTATCTGTTGACCATTTGTACAGTTCCTTTTGAGAAATGCCTATTCGATTTCCTTACCCATCTTTAAAATCAAACTATTTGGTACTCAGTTACATGAATTGTTTATATATTTTGGATATTAACCACTTTTCACATATATGATTTGAAAATATTTTCTCACATTCTGTAGAATATATTTTCCTTTTGTTCATTACTTTTTTTGCTACGCATAAGCTTTTGATTGGATATAGTCCCACTTACTAAGTTTTGCTTTTATGCTTGTGCTTTTGGTGTCATATTAAAAAAATTATTGTCAAGACAGATGTCAACAAACTTTTTCCTAAATATTCTTCTGAGAGTTGTATGGTTTCAGGTGATATGTTTAAATCTTTAATTTTGAGTTAATTCTTGTGAGCAATGTATAATAGGGATGCAATTCCTTTCTTTCCCATGTGATTATGTAGTTTTCTCAACTTCCTTTATTAAAGACTGCTATTTTCCTAACAAGTTTTGTTTGCTTCATATTCAAATGCTAATTAATACATATGTGAAGATTTGTTTCTAGGCTCTGCATTCTGTTCCATTACTCTATGTGTGTCCTTTTATGTTAGGAACTTACTGTTTTGATTATTATATCTTTGTTGTATAGTTATCTTGATTGTTTTACAGCATCTGTATTTAAGCCATTTCTCCCTAAAATTTCCCAAGGATGAAAACAAAATGTCCAGAATTCATATATTATACAAAACATGGTATATTAAATTTCACAGATCCTGCTTCATTTCTAAATTTCATTTGATAAAAATTAAATAATTTTCCTGTATAAATATTTTCAGTTCTCAAATTTTTATAAAATTAAAATAATGCCAAGGCATTCTGGCCAGAAGTGGAGCAGTGGTGGTCACAGCCAGCAGAGGTGCACCTCGGTTCCCCTAACACCCTTCACCCTTAGACCTCATCCCCATCTCTCCACTCTCCAGGCCCACCCAACCAAACAATTCCCTGTTCTGGAGTGGCTCTGGGACCCCCCAGCAGAAACCCTTGACCATGGGCAGACAGAGCTCCAAGGTTCCCAGGAGTGACCTGACCGCCAAGGAGGCAGCAGATGCATCCCCCTCCAAAGCTGACAGACAGGGGAATGGCCACGTGAAAAGCAATGGAGATTATCCCTGCAAAGATGAAGGGGACCCAACTCCAAAGAAGGGAACAGAGGAGGCAGCCGGGGCCACTGGCGATGCCATCGAGCCAGCACCCCCTAGGCAGGGAGCTGAGGCCAAGGGGGCAAGGGGTACCCCCATGGAGACCGCCAAGAAGAGGAAGGATTTCTCTTTCAAGAAGCCTTTCAAATTGAGTGGCCTGTCCTCAAGAGAAATTGGAAGGAGGGTGGAGGTGATTTGTCTGCCTCCTCACCCGCAGAGGCAGAGCAGGAACAGGGGGAGATGGTTCCCTGCAGCAAGGAAGGCACTGCCCAGGAAGGGAAGGCTGTTGCCACTCCTCAGAGCCAGGAGCACCAGGCCAAAGGGGCAGAGGCCAGTGCTACCTCCAAGGGAGGAGGCACAGAAGAGGCCGGGCCCGAGGTCGCAGAGCCACCCACTCTCTCGGGGTCAGAGGGTGGCCCCACACCAGCAAGCGAGCAGAATGAGTAGCTGGGTGAGGGCAGGGGGTGATCTCTAAGCTGCAGAAACTGGGTCCTTGTGAGCTCACTGCCTAGACCTGGTGCTTCTGCTGCCTTCTTGTACCCAGAAAGGAACAGGTCTGTTGCCCTCTAGCCACATTGCCTCTCCTCTCCCTCCTGTGGATTCTCCCATCATCCATCTGGTCTTCCTCTAAAGGCCAGTTGAAGATGGTCCATTCCAGTTTCCCAAGTTAGGTTTGTGATGTGACATGCTCTTGCCCTTGGCCCTACCTCCTTCCCTTCCTCGCCTGTGCTGAAGGCAATTGCTGGTTTTCTTTCCCAATTATTTTCCTGGTAGGTTTTGTTTACCAGCTTTCCTGGTGGCTCAGATGGTAAAGCATCTGCCTGTAACGTGGGAGACCTGGGTTCAATCCCTGGGTCAAGAAGATCTTCTGGAGAAGGAAATGGCAAACCCACTCCAGTGCCCTTGCTTGGAAAATTCCATGGATGGAGGAGCCTGGTAGGCTATAGTCCATGGGGTCACAAAGAGTCAGACATGACCAAGCAACTTCAATTTCCTTTCACTTTTTGTTTACTCCCCAAATCCCTGAGCCAGATGTGGGGACACCACACTCCCAAAACCTGAGTGTAGTCCAGCTTTTTCCTGTCGAGCTTTCAGTTTCTCCTGCTGTGCCTAGGGGCACTTGGGCTGGGGAGGGCACTGCCCCTGCCTAGGTATTTATAGATGCCTTATTCAAGTTCAAACAAACAAAAGATGTCAAATATATCTCCTAGCACACACCCAGATATATAATGCATTTCTAAACAATGTATAAAACTGTATATTAGAAAAACAGATAAAATATAAAATAGTGTATTATTTGCCAGATATTCCCAATCCCAATGTCAGCTACTATCTACACAAGTGTTACTTTCTCTGGTGTGGTGTTTATTTATCATACTCTTCAAAATATTAGGAAAACATTCTTGACTTATAGAATATATAGAAATAATGACTATTTTCCACTATCTAAGACTAGAATGAAAGTCCTTCAGATATATGACTGTAAAAAGGATTGCTCTGTCTTACATGAAAATATTACACCGTTCTGTGTCTCCTGTCTATATTGTACAGCTCTGTCCCAGGTGTGAAATGTGAAAGTCGGTCAGTTGTGTCTGACTATTTGCAACCTCAGACTTTACAGTCCATGGGGTTCTCCAGGCCAGAATACTGGAGTGGGTAGCTGTTCCCTTCTCCAGGAGGTCGTTCCAACCCAGGAATCAAACCCAGGTCTCCCCCATTGTGGGCAGATTCTTTACCAGCTGAGCTACCATGAAAGCACAAGAATGCTGGAGTGGGTCGCCTACCCCTTCTCCAGGGCATCTTCCTGACCCAGGAATTGAACCAAGGTCTCAGGCTTTGCAGGATTCTTTACCAACTGACCTACCAGGGAAGCCCAGGTGGCTCAGGGGTAAAGAATCCACCTGCCAGTGAAGGAGATGCAGGGGATGTGGGTCTGATCCCTGGGTTGGAAAGTCCTCCTGGAGAAGGAAATGGCAACCCACTCCAGTATTCTTGCCTGGGAAATCCCATGGACAGAGGAGCCTGGTGGGTTACAGTCCATAGGGTCACAAAGAGTAGGACACAAATGCACAGACATATTTATGAAATGTTTTCTCTGATTTCATCTCTAGCTAATTCAAGTCATTCTGAATATTGCTAAAGAATTTCTTCATTTGGGTTTCCCTGGTGGTTCAGATGGTAAACAATCTGCTTACAATGCAGAAGACCCTGTTTTGACCCTTGTGTTGAGAAGATCCCCAGAACAAGGAAATCAAACCTACTCCAGTGTTTTTACACGAGATATCTCACGGATGGAGGAACCTGGCAGGCTACAGTCCATGGAGTAGCAAAGAGTCAGATACAACTGAGTCAAATTTCCTTATTTAGGAAGACTTCAAATTATTTTATAATTATATTTACCTGTCTACTTTGATAACTGTGATTTCTTTGAAATGTCAGTATCTACCTATCCTGAAAACCTGCGTAGCATGTGGGTATTTTGGAAACTTGTGTATGTACACACACACACACACACACACACAAACACACAATTGGGTGCATCACCGACTCAGTGGACATGAGTTTGAGCAAGCTCCGGGAGTTGGCGATAGATAGGGAAGCCTGGTGTGCGCAGCCCACGGGGTCAACAAAGAGTCGGACATGACTGAGTGACTGAAGTGAACTGAACTGAATTATTTCTAAGGTAATTTGAAGACATAGGATTTGAATCAGAAGGTCTATTTTAAGTTTTTAACGACTTTTTTAACTTTCATTATGTAAGAGCAGAATCCCATGTAAATAGGTCACTTAAGGTTTAGAATCTTATTAAAAATCTTTCATACTGGGAGAATGAAGAATCTTTGATTTGCTTTATGTTTTAAATATACATTTTTAAGTTTTACAGATTTTTTTTTCTTTCACTACAGAGAAAGGCATAGTTCTGATAATTACTCTGCTTTTTGCACATTATCAGAAGGATGTAAAGTGTATTTACTGACATTAATAAGTTACTCTTTGGCATCATTATTCGCTAATGAGCTTATTTCAGAATGTTTGCAAGCTTATGTGACAGGATGACATTTTATTATATGAATAAGGTCAGCTCTGTTATTTAGTTCTTGAAAGAAAAAAAAAATTTCTTCTTGAAATGTGAAGCTATTAAGTACATTTGACTCAAAGCTTGCTTTAAAGTCAAGAAGTGGCACCTCAATTCATGTAGCTGCTCTAACCTATAAGGTGGAGTTTTGGCAATTATAAGGGGATGTCAGGAGGTACTTTGCAGATAGTGATTAGCCATGTTAAAGGTTATGTTCAAGCTAAATTTTGAATGGCACAGTGGCTATTATTTGAAAGAGCAAGATATACAGACTTAGAAGTTGAAATGTAAAGTTTACTCTGTCTTCCTTGAAACTTCCTTGCCTTCATCATTCACTGTCATTAAAAATATCAGGATCACCATAATTAGGGGCTCTAAGAAACAAGTACACATTATTTTTAGTTGCCCAGATGCCAAAAAAAAAAAAAAAAGGACTTGGGTTTTTGTCTTTGGGAAATGAGAAGGTTTGGGAATGTTGGCATAAATCTCCAAAATTGTGAGATTGACTTTTTATTAAAATAACTGTTGTGACTGTAGGATAAATTGAAATGGAAAAAAAATCATCTAGAAAGAAGCATATCTCAGTGAAAGCGAAATTTTAGGGTCCTTGATTGTGACAGTATTCCTTTTTGTCAACTGCATTTGTCTCATAATAATTTTCAAGTTGATTAAGGTGGTTATTGTTATAATCATTATATAATTGTTATAATATAACTTGGAATATGAGGAGAAGGAGATAAAGTAGCATTTCCACTAGTGATTACAGAGAAGGTATAGGGAGTAAGTTTAATAAAAGCACTGTCCTGTAAGATGAGCAATATTTTGAAAGATTAAAATGTGAAGTGCTTTGTTTTATCTCTTTGTAATTGCAGGAGTCCAGTTGTATTCACTCATGTCTCCTTTGAATGCTTTGTGAATAGTAGCACTCAGAGACAGTGAAATTTATTTCCATGTATTTTCTCTTCCCTTAAGTAAAGGCATATTTTCAGTGAATTAAAAAAAACTTTTTAGTCAATTTTTTTTGGAGTACAGTTTTTTTTGTTTTGTTTTGCTACATTGTGCAGCATATGGGGTCATAGTTTTCCAATCCGGATGGAACACCCTGTGTTTCCTTGTAATGGAAGCATGGAATCTTAACCGCTGGACCACTAGGGAAGTCCCTTCAGTGAGTTTTTAGGTATATGATAATTAACTTCTTTGACCCCAATAATATAAAACTACAAGACAGACAAATTTCAGGATTTGATATATACTAAAAATGAGATTTAACTTCTATGCAGATGTGTTTCATTATCTCAGACAAGCTTCTATTCTTTTTGCTGTGGTCTGTATGCAACATAATTACTTGGTTAGGCTGAAATGTGAATCAAGGCTACAGAGAGAAAACAGAACAAAGCAACTAAGGGAGCCCATGGAGCACAGCCTGTTTGAGTGTACAGGAAACATTGTTGGGAGGAAGGTTGAAGATTAGCAACATGGACTATCAAATTTTGGATTTCCCAGACTCAGTCGTCTAATTCTACATGTTTTCTTCTCAAAGTAGATTCTTTTGGCAGGTAGGGATTGTAACATACTGTATTCAAGTGGAGGTGCAACATAAGGAGTCTGCATGTAGGTAACAGTGATAACATTTGGCAAAGTGATGGTGAATGTCCTAAGTGAATGTCCTTGATCCTTGTGACTCAAGAGAGCACAGCAATAACTGATGGGACTCCATAGAGAAGAAGAGATCAGGACCTGTGGCAGCAGCAAACAGGAGGAAACAATAATTTAAAAAACATTGCCAATCGAGAGATCTCTCAAATTCATCCGTGTATGTGTGCACAGTGAGCAACTAACATGCTCAGTCATCAGTCATGTCTGACTCTGTGACCCTATGGACTGTAACCCACCAGACTCCTCTGTCCATGGATTTTCCCAGGCAAGATCCTGGAGTGGATTGCAATTTCCAACTCGAGAAGATCTTCCCACTCAGACATCAAACCTACAGCTCTTTTGTGTCCTGCATTGCAAAGCAGATTCTTTACCACTAACACCACTGTGGAAGCCCCAGATTCATCATTAGTGCTCTAGGAAAACATTGCTCTTTTCAGGGAACACGGCTCAGTTTAAGGGGCATTTTATTTGACAATTAGGCAAGAATGAATGAGGAGAAAGAATTTGGAACTTGCTATCATTATTTTTTGTTATATTTTCATATTCATATTTAACTTAATATGTATGTTGTAAATTGTTTCAGAAGTACAGAATGAGAACAAATGTCCAATTTTAATCTTAGCCTCAGGTTTTAAATATATGTATGTATAAAGTGAATAAATTGCAATCCGTTAATATACAGATAAGTATTAATACTCTCAATGGACATGAATTT